GCGTTGGGTGCATCACGAAGCACATGGAGTAGTAGTTGAGCCAAGAAAGGATTCATTCCTCGTAATAGATTAAGAGAGAACATTCTACTTCTCATATCTAGATGGATCATAAAGTCATTGGCCAATGCAAAGATATATTCGTTTTGGATATCGAATATGATCGTTATGGATCATCTAGAAAGATTGAGAGATAGAGACTAAGTTGTTGGAATAGACACAATATCAAGTTCCAGACTTAGTTGAATGTTCGTTGAATGAAAGGACCGTATCACTATGAGCTCTATACTACAGGGAGTTTGAATAGTCCTCACAAACGTCCTTATATATTAAGTTTGTCTGGTAAATTGTCTAGGGATTCTACTAAGACCTTAATTTGATTGGTGCTTAATATATAAGGCCCTACGGGTCACACAACAAGTGATTATACCTTCCGATTGAATTGTTAGAAGGAATTAAATATTATTAATTGGATTAAATAATATTTAATTCATAATGGTGAAAATGTGATGAGTTAATTATTAATTAGATTAATATATTTAATTCATCATGTTAAAGGAAAGTTCTATTTGATAGAATTAATTAAGTTTGATAAATTAGATTTATTATACTTAATTAAGATGTAATTTTAATTAAATAAAGTTGGTATTTTCTTTTATAATTTAGAATTAAAAGAAAATAGAAAATGAAATAAATAATAATAATAACAAGCAAAGTGACGTGCAGCCACTTTGATATTATTATTAGTTTATTTTGTTTTACTTATTTAATTAATAAAATCGTTAATGATAAGTATTGGTCCTGGTAGGATTAGAACTCATTATTGAGAAAGACTTTCATTGTGATTGGGAAACTAGTTTAGAACTAGTATAAATACATCCTTCTCCTTCATAATTGATAGACCAGTTTTCTAGATTCAGTATTACCTGTTTATTTCCCTGCGAAGAGATTTCCTAGCCTTTCTCTAAGGGAGATCTAACCGTTCTTTCGGAGAGGAGAAATCACGTGGACACCTAAGGTCAAGGATTATCACTGCTAGACTGGAAGATCTGTAAGTTCTAACTCAGATATGACATTATTGCTATATTCGTTGTTTTGTCATAATCAGGGAAGATCTGTTTGGAAAATTTTAAACTTCCGCTGCTGTACTTTCGAGGTACGTTACATCAATTTCCTAACATAAACTTCCACAATAAACTGATATTTGATGGGTTGGTGTTGTGTTTTAAGTGGTGGCTAGGTAACTAAAGTTGCAGCCATTTACTTCAAATGTTTATGCCCCCATACAAAATTTGAATTCGAAAATAAGCTATCTGAGCCTATGCCACTTGTTAAGTGTTCGTACAAGCTTATCCGCCCTTTATCATTTCAATCATTTAATTGGCTATGATGAAGCTTCCACAACAAACTGATTTGTCATGGGTTGATGTTCTGTTAAGTTATGACTAGGTAACTATAGTTGCCGTCATTTACTTGATATAATGTGCCCCCATACAAAATATGATCTGAAAATAAGCTATCTGAGCCAATATTTTTGAATCACAGTTTGATGATTACTTGTTTTTAACAATAGTATTTGTTTAGATGATTGACATTCTTAATTCTTAATAGGTTCAAATTTGAAGCCATTATGAAGAACTGAAGAAGGAATTGAATGGGCGCTTGCGAAGTGTTTTTGTGTTTTGCTTTTATTACTTTGCATGTCACAAACTTGATATAATTTCACAATTTCTAATGTGATGCACTTTGTATATTTTGTTGTGTGTTAAACAGTTAAACACTTAAACTTGGTTAGCCACTTAGCCAATTCATGAACTTGTAAGTTCATACAAACACTTTTTTTATGTACTAAGGGTCTGGGGTATGCCCCTTATATTGTGTAACTTTTGTTCATCATGTATAAATTTCCAGTTTATGTAAAAAGAAGTAAACTTTTAGTAGTTTATTTATCAGTTTTGGATATCCGAAATATCCGAAACCTGACCCATATTCAAATGAATCCGAAATTCAAAATATCTGAAATATTAATTCCATTTTCTTTAAGGGTAGGGTTAGAGAAAATAAACCCGATACCCGAACGGGTTTACATTTTATGAACTCGACCCACCCGAACCCGACCCGTGCTCTGCCCTACCAGCGCCGAGCATCTTGAGCTCGCGATCGGGCTCTCCATCCCTTCCAGGATGGGGACCATCGCCTTTATATGATGATCGGCCCATCACTGACGTCGTCCTCAGACCACGAACGGCCCCTCACCCTCAGCGTGATGATCTATCTCAAGGCCGGCCCCTCAGCGCCGAAGTCTTGAGCTAACGACTGGGCTCGCCATTCCCTTCCTGGATAGCGACTGTCGCGCATGACTCATCACCACCGTCGTCCTCATGTTCGGACAGGCGTCCACCGCATCATCCTCATATTCAGATAGGCGTCCATCGCCTCATCCTCATATTCAGACAGGCATCCACCGCCTCGTCCTCATATTCAGACAGGCGTCCATCGCCTCGTCCTCATATTCGGACCGACTCATCAGCGTCGACGTCCTCATATTCAGACAGGCATCCATCGCCTCATCCTCATATTCAGATATAACGAACATCTCACGGTCTCCGACTGAAAGGCTAAAGGATTCCAAAGTTCAAACACAGGCCCAATCGGCCATACATCGCTCCATCATCTTTATTTGATGACGAGAAGCTCTCATACAGGCCCCTCGGCCGCACATTGCTCCATCATTTTATTTGATGACAAGGAGCTCTCATACATGCCCCTCGGCCGTACATCACTCCGTCATCTTTATTTTATGACGAGGAGCTCTCATACAGGCCCCTCGGTTGTACATCGCTCCATTATCTTTATTTGATGACGAGGAGCTATTATATAGGCCCCTCGGCCACACATCGCTCCACCATCTTTATTTGATGACGAGGAGCTCCCATACAGGCCCCTCGGCCATACATCGCTCCATCATCTTTATTTGATGACGAGGAGCTCTCATATAGGCCCCTCGGCCACACATCGCTCTGTCATCTTTATTTGATGACGAGGAGCTGTCATACAGGCCCCTCGGCCGTACATCGCTCCGTCATCTTTATTTGATGACGAGGAGCTCTCATACAGACCCCTCGACTGTACATCACCCCGTCATCTTTATTTGATGACTGTGATTACTTATCATGCCGAGCTACTCACATATAGAGACTGATCTCGCTCGGCCACTCCCTCAGCAGACGGACACCGCTGCAGCTCCACACCTAGGCGGAAGGGTTCACACCCTTTGCTTCGTTTTAGGGGCATCCAATGTACTCTTTTTCCCTCATTAGGATTTTTTCCTGTAGGGTTTTTCCTAATGAGGTTTTTAACGAGGCATCTCCCCATGGTGGATCAAAAGGCGTCAACCTTCGGCCCCCTGTTGAAGACATGCATTACTTTACTCCTTTTCACCTCATTACATGTGCTTAAGGAGTGGGGGACTGGGGGACTATATCGGCCTCCACGGGCTCCAAAAAATCCCAAGATAAACAAGTTCAAAAACGACAAAGGACCACAAGCCAAACTGCCAAAGATAGTGGTATCACAGCGTCCTCAACCATGTGATCCACCGTTGGCCAGAATGACAAGTACACCATGGACGTCCACCTTCATTTAAAGTCAAAAGCACAAAGACAGGACATTCATCGTCCTCAAAAACCATGGACGTGCAACGTCCACTAGGTAAGGACGTCCATCGTCCACGTTACGAATCAAACTACCAAACCACGGATGGTCCCTCTTCGGCCTGGAGCACCAAAAACAGTTACGGTGCCTCCTCGGCTGCGCAAGGTAACCAAAACCCGCGAAGGGAAACAAATCAACGCCGATGTTATGACAACGTCTTCAGCCTACATGTCCCACCTCCGGCCAAGATAGGAGAACACCACAACGACCAAAGCACGCGTGACGTCCTCAGGGGTCACACTCATCGTCCTCAGATCAGGGACACCCAACGACACCTACAGCCATGTGGCCTCTCCTTCGTTCAAATCAACACGCCAAGTCAGGACATGCGTTGTCCTCAAAACAAAGGACACACATCGTCCTCGACACAACGTACAAAGAACAGAACACACACATCGTCCTCAATACAATGCACATTTCTCGCCCACATGAGTGAGGGATCCGTAACGGCTCAGGAAGCAACAACAAGCATCAGCCACCAGATGGTATCGCCTCGGCCAAGAACGCCGAACATCCAGATGATCCTCCGTCGGCCAGAAGTAACCGGACATCATTTATCTACTCCCTTCCACTTCATCTACATCTCAACTCAGAGAGTGGGGGACTCCTGATAGAGTATATGGGTCAAGACCCCATTACCCACATACTCAGAAGACTAAGAGGAAGCACATTTGTCACCCAGCGGATCCTCCGTCGGCCAGATGGCCCTCCATCGACCAGATAAATATCAACTCAGAATACGGTCCAAAAGCCAGGAGAACCAGGGTGCCCCCTTCGGCCGGGTCTCCGTTGGCCAGACCCCCGTCAGTCAGACCTCTGTCGGCCACAGAGACATTGAATAGCTAGATTCCATACTTAGCTAATTTACACTTTGTATTCAGCCCAATAGAGGACTTATATTGTAATGGGCCTCCCAAGCCCAAGACTTGGGAGCCCAGCCCATATTTTCCCTATAAATACTCCCTATGGGTGCCATGTAAAGGGTTGGAAATTCATTTATACATATCACTTCTCTCTCTAGCTCTCACTTCTCTCTAAGAGTTAATACACTATCATTAATTTTACATTAAGTCAATCAAAAATATGAAAAATGTAAGAGTAATAGTGATAGTACCTTTAGTTATCCTTTTTAGAAATGAGAACCTCATTATGCGAAGTGGTTTAGCCTTAGTAGGTACAAATAGACCTTATATGTTGATTTGTCAGATGCATTATGTATTTAACAAAATATGTTAATAACAAGAGCATATATAATATGTGCATGAGTTAAACTAATACTCCATATTTACCTCTAAAGTGTCACCAATGTTAATAACAAGAGCATTTGGAAGAGGTTGAACAGGGACCCAAGCATTGTCTTTAAGAATTTGAAGTCCAATTGAGTTGTTGCATTGTCCCTGTTGCAACACTGTTAGGGCACTTCCATCAGAGTGGGGGCTAAGTCCCATAACAAGGTCTGGCCTTGGACATGCTGAGTAGTAATTCATCCTCACTGCCTGTACAGCCACCCCAAACATCTCTTCAAACACACTCTCACTCAGCCCCAAACTTATGGCTATGCATTTCAACAATTCTTTGCATAGCTTTCTAACTTCTCTTGAATATGCCTCCAATGTCTCACTGTACCATGTCAATGATTCAATATAAAGAAAAACTATAAGGTGTAAAAGAGTTCCAAAAAAGAGTTATTTTTTGTTTGGCCTAACACAAAGGTTTAGAAAATGAAAACTATGCGGTCGAATTTTATTTCGAAGAGAGACAAATATTGTGAATTTATGCAGTATTGGGGGTAGCCTCGTGTCAAATACAGGGTATTTGACAAGAGAAGACTTGCCCCTTATACATATTTGTGGTGGAACCCTTTCCTGGACCCTCGCCTTACAAGGATGCTTTCGTGCACCAGGCTACCCTTTTTGACAAATATTGTGAACTACTCATCATTATACTCATTTATTGATTTATTTATGAACTAATGGAAAATGATTAATTTGTGAAATATTTCACTTCACGAAACACACATTACTCTTGTAGGGGAATGGGTTTATTGCACAAGAATAACCCAAACCCGCATAAGCAGCCCAACGCAATCTTGTGCGACCATTTTTAATTGGGTATTTGATTAAAAAATATTCATGGGTTAAATATGTATGAACTTGCACCTAACGTGTAGGGTTGCAGAATTAAAATCTCAAACCCGATAAAGCCGACCCCAGTCGAAAGTTCATTTTGCTATTATTATGCTAAAATGTTTTGTTGGATAATTTCTATTTAAGACCGATCGATGTGCTCTAAGACTTTATGATATTGGAATTATAAACATTTACCATTGTGATCAGGTGATTATTACTCCCTCCGTCCCAAAATTATCTTCATAGTTACTATTCACACGGTCAACTCAAATTACTCTTAAACTTTTACTTTATATATCAAATTTTTATCAAACTTAAATTTTTCTTGATCAGCCTTTGTAGCGGATTTAATGTAGTTTCCGAATATGTAAATTTAATTTACTAAAAATAATCTGAGTGTGAACATGGATGAAGTTGCTTTATCGTCAGTCAAGAATCGTAAACCGAACTACGAAGATAAATATGGGACGGAGGGAGTATATATTTAAGTTTAATTTGCTTCTATTTAAGACTTCCTTGGCACTGTGCAAACAGTGCGGCCGCACAGGGCCCGATTTGAAGGGAGGGCCCATTTTTTTATTTAAATAGTTAAGAGTACTTTAGCCCATTTGACCCAATATTCATATTATCTGGCTACATGAAAAAGTCGCTGACTGTGGGAGTCGAACCCACATCACCTACGGAAGCACCTAGCACTTTACCAACTCACCAAGCAAGCTGATTGGAATAAATTGGTCATTAGCAATAAAAATAACTTTAGTGAAATTAATTAAAATATTCTATTACTTCCAATTTATTGTAAGTGAACACATAATAAATTTAACTATACATATTATTGGTATTAATTTACATCGGCATACATGCAACATGTAAAATATAAGTGGCAGAAATTACCATGTCACACTTATTATATGGAATACTGCATCGATCTCATATTGAGTTGTAAAATTGACTTTTTGAGTCTAAATATTCATTATATTCACGTAATTGGGATATCAGTCATTAATTAAATTTTAACTTGGATTTTGCAACTTTATAAAAATTTTAATGTAATTTCTGAATATGTAAATTATAATTATTAAAAATTGAATTAATTATCAATAGGGAGGATATAACTTCAATATTGACCCGGAGGCAATATAATTTTTTTCCTTTTTTTTACAAGGCCTTTTATTTAATGTTGAACATGACCTTCAATATCTCAGGACCGCCCTGATTACACACCCAAGCTTTATGCTTATAAAAGGTCCTTGGATACTTTTGTGTATTTTGGAAATAAGTTAGTACGTATATGAGTTTAAATTTGGTTTTATTAGTTGCTGACATTAAAAATCCAACCCGAATAACTTGGGTACGCCCAAAAAGTATGGCAAACTTGACTCGACCCGCCCAATGTGCACCCTAGAGAGTATGCCTTTGTGCCTGCTATATTAAAGAAAATGAAACTACTTTTATGACTGCTAGCTATTGATTTTTATAGTCAGCGGCGGACCCACTAAGGGTCCCACGGGGTCCCGGGACCCCATGGGTCTCCAAAAAATACCTATATATATATTTGTATATATTTTACATAAAATTAAGTAATCAGTGTATTTATACAATTGAAACTGATTTAGAACACAAATATGGAGCTAGAGCAACGGTTGAAGTCTCAATCCTGAGACCCTCTACGCGCGGGAGGTTGAAGGATTGATTCCTTTGGGTGGGAGTCATCTTTTTGAAAATAAAGGTATGGAACAACTTAGCGCACCTATTGTTATCAAGCACCTCTATAGTCCAACTTTTAATCTAATTTTCTCAACCTATACCCAATTTTTTTCATAACAAATACTACTATAAAGCCAGTATGTATCCCCAAATTTAAGCTTATCTATTTTATAAACTAATTTCATCATGAAACAGGTAATTCTTGAATTCACGCACTGAATTTGTAATAATTAAAATAAGCAAGTTAAAATCATTTTTCGGCGAGATGACTAAAGTTACCGTAAGAGCATCATCTTAGCCACTTTTTCATATGACTTTTTTTCATATCTTATAACATACTATCCTCCGTATCACATTATTTACAACATTGAAATATATACACTATTCATATACTTTACTTTGACTACATTTTATTTATTAATGTATGTGATTTTTTTTGAAAAATATTGTAAATTCCGTCTCATTACTAAGTCTTATAATCTGATTTTTATTTTATTATTACTAATACAGAATTAAATAGACGGTCAAAGTTGTACACTGGCAAACGTGAAATGTTGACTGTTGCAACTAATTAAAAAGAGACGGAGGAAGTATAATTTAAATATCATTATTTCCTAATATAGCAGTTTGAGTCGCTTGAGCCAAACTCCGCCATGATATCATTTTTTTGGTATCATGCCTGTCCCAAGCCAGGATAAAGGAGGAGGGTGCTGTGGTAGGCGTGTGACGGCCAACAGTATCACCTAGTCACATCACATGACATGAATCGAAATATGAATATCGCTAATGCTAGGTCGTCACCCGTAAGTGACGCGTCATCCCTCCGCCTGGGGGTGGTGTCAAATATGCAAGGGCGCGCTACACTTGATAGACCTGGGTGTGGTGATAAGAATGCTAAGGTTGCTAGGTCGCCGCCCAGAAGCGGTGCGTCATCCCATTGCCCAAGGATGATGTCAAATATGCAAGGGCATGGTGGGGTCCGAGATGGCGCTAAAAACAGAAGGTGGAATGCTAGATTGCGTTTTGGGACATGGAATGTTGGGTCTCTTACAGGCAAATCTTCCGAGGTAGTCGAGGTTATGAGCAGAAGGAATATCAGCATTATGTGTGTGCAAGAAACTAAATGGGTTGGAGAGAAAGCACGCGAGATTAATCCCGGAGGTTTTAAGTTGTGGTATTCGGGGAGAGATAAGACTAGAAATGGGGTAGGCATTATTGTGGCGCGTGACTATGTTGAGGATGTGGTAGAAGTCTTCAGGAAGAACGATCGCATCATGAGCATTAAATTGGTGATAAAAGGTGAGATTGTGTCTGTGGTAAGTGCCTATGCACCACAAGTGGGATTGGATGCATCTACAACTCAACAGTTCTGGGAAGATCTTGAAGACGTGGTGCGACGAGTGCCAAGGGGAGAGAAGTTGATCATAGGAGGTGACCTCAACGGGCATGTGGGCTCGAGTCGTGATGGCTTTGAGAATATTCATGGCGGACATGGTTTTGGCACTAGGAATGAGGCGGGAAAGAATATTTTGGATTTTGCCTTGACATATGAGTTGGCTATAATGAACACGTGGTTTAAGAAAAGAGACTCTCACCTTGTAACCTATAAAAGTGGAGCTAATAGTACCCAAATTGACTACTTCTTAGTACGGACCACTTGGAGAACTAGCTACACTGTTTGTAAGGTTATTCCAGGTGAGAGTGTTGTCACTCAGCATAGGATGCTTGTGCTTGACTTTCGAGGTAAGAACCATAGAAGACAAGTTAAACAACAAGTGGAGCCAAAGATAAAGTGGTGGAGGCTTGAGGGAGATCTTCAACAAAGCTTTACACACAAAATGGTCGGTGAAGATGTATGGCGTATTGATAATGAAACACATGTGGATGATGTGTGGTTATCAATGGAGTTGACCATTAACAAAGTGGCTAAGGAGGTACTTGGAGAATCTAAAGGATGTCGGCCACCTAAAAAGGACACATCTTGGTGGAATGATGAGGTGAAACAAGCCATAAGGAACAAAAGAGATTGCTACAAAAAGTTGGGGACAAATTGGAGTGATGAGAACATAGAAGCATACAGGGAGGCTAAAAGACAAGCAAAGAAAGCCGTAAGGGAAGCACGAGGGAAAGTGAACAAGGAGTTGTATGAAAAGTTGGACTTTAAGGAAGGAGAACTAGATATTTATAGACTTGCTCGTCTTCGTGATCGCAGAACTCAAGATATTGCAAAAGTTAAATGTGTGAAGGATGTTGATCAGAGGATATTAATGGACGACGGAGAGATAAAAGAGAGGTGGAGGTCATACTTTGATACACTATTCAACGGGAACAAAACACAAGATATCGGCGATTTGTCCATACCAGATTGTATGGTAAATCGTGATTTTGTGAGAAGGATCCAAACAACGGAAGTTAAAGAAGCTCTGAGGAAGATGGGACGGAAAAGAGCAATGGGGCCAGATGGCATACCGATCGAGGCTTGGAGAAGTTTGGGAGAGAGAGGCGTCGAGTGGTTAACAAGTTTCTTCAACATGATTTGGAGAAACAACAAGATGCCAACGAGTTGGAGGAAGAGTACTCTTATCCCCTTATTTAAGAATAAAGGTGATGTACAAGAATGTGCCAACTATCGAGGGATTAAGCTTATGAGTCACACCATGAAACTTTGGGAGCGAGTGATTGAGCAAAGACTTCGAAGGACTGTGAAGATTTCAGAGAATCAATTCGGTTTTATGCCTGATCGCTCAACAACTGAGGCCATTCACCTTCTTCGACAACTTATGG